ATGGATGGATGGATGGATGGATGGATGGATGGATGGATGGATAGATGGATGGATGGATGGATATGGATGAATGGGTGGATGGATAGATAGTTAGATGGGTCGATGGATGGAACGGTGAATGGATGGATAAGCAGATAAACCGATAGACAGACAGACATGTAGATATCTCCGATATTCTGCCCAATTAACAGTTGTGTTACTAGTTAGACTTACTAGTGAATAATTACAGTCATAGAACTAAGAGCAATATTGAACATGGTATAACGTCACTTACCGGTAACATCACAACTGGAAAATTTACGGAACGATCAACTGCCTGCATACATGTACGGTTACAATACATGTATGCAAGCAGTTGATCGTTCCGTCGGCTACTGGAACAAGACTGAAGTCGGCAACACCGCTTGTCTCTAATGCAGCACGCATGCATGTAGAAGGCGTGATGGTTGCTACGCGTGTGTTTTCCTACGCTACAGAGAAACACGAACCGACAATTTATTCAACAAACTTTGAATACCCTTGTAATTTGTGAAGTTTTTTAAAGTTTGTGTGTGCGCGCGCGTGTGTGCATGTGTGCGAGTATGTATATTGAGCGCAAGTAATAACTGACGTGCTGCACACAAGGCAATGCCAACAATGGTAAGCGTCAGCATTCGTAATTATATGCACATATTATTAATACTTTAATTTCCATTCACAGAACTAAATGACTGGCAATTTTGTTGCACGTAGCCTAGACATTTTAATCCAGCCACCTGAATAAGAGGATTTCGCATTTTGCAATCGAAAAATTACTGCTTTCATGGCTCTTGGATGTAAACTTTTCCAACGGAAAAATATGAACACACGTAATATTCCTATCGCTATACGTATAAACACGGGAATCTCCAGTACACGGTGAATAATTACAACATAGCGCTTCAGGATGTGTCGAGGACAAGCTATGAAGGACATTCTATATCTAATTAAGCTAATACGATGAAGATCAATTTAAAGCTACGAAACGCGGCATCTTTACTTCGGGCATAATTTCACGTTTCACCTCCATCGTGTATACTTTGCTCAGACCTATGTTGAACCGCTTTGTTACCCTTTGCCGAGAAAGTCATTAAAATGTTTAAAACCCTTTAGTAAGTCAATGTTTAATCTGTATCCTTATTCCGCCAT